GGAGTTGGAACACTGGTTGTTGTTGGTACTGTTGTTGTGGTTGTTGCAGCAATTGTTGTTGTTTCGGATGGAGTCACTTTGTCAGTGGTTTCGATAGAGGCTTGAGAGGCACTCCCTTCTTTAGACTTTGAGGCAGTTGTCTTTATCCTGATGGCTGAAAATCGAAACAATTAAAGCAAAGGTTAAAGATATGGAAAATGAAAAACGTTTGGGATTTTCCCAAGCATTCGCACCTGTGCCTTGATCAGATTTAATCGACATGGCAGAAAGGTCATATCGAAGGTGTCCTGGGAAATCGTGGAGCCAGTGTCGAGCCCATGTCACAGTCTCAGATGGCTTTGGTTTCTTTTGAAGATGTTTGAACATCTCTTTGCAAGTGAACCACCAAGGATATGGGGGAAACCAAGCCAGAGCCAGTTCTGAGGTAGGTAATCTAGGGAATTTAGGTGGATGCATTTCGAATTCCAACCTATACCTATCCTCAGGTGATAACCCTAAAGGAAGTTTTAACTTAGAAAATTTGTGTTTGAATTTTTCCTTCAAGGTCTCAGCCGCTTGATGCACAGTGGATTCCAAGCGTGTGGGGTCATAAGTAGTTTCAAAATAATTTTGAAAAGCTTTAATCTCTTTGGCATGAGTAAACATACCTTTCTTGGCTGGTACCTGCACATCGAAGGCATCAATTAGTTTCTGCTGAATTGTAAGAGTATCGAACATATAAGTTTGATAAAACTTGGTCCACCATTCCAGAAACCCCTTAGCTGTAAGATGGGTAGGTTCGAAGGTTATCAGCTCAAACTGGGCAAAGCCTTGGTATTGTTCTTGCTGTAATTTTGCTTCTCGTGCCTTGAAAGTTCGCCCAGAGGTAATGGCACTCTCAGTTTGAAATAAGGGTTCAGGAATTAGTTGGCATAAGCCAAACTGTCTCGAAACAAAATTTGGCTGGTAAGCGAAAAGGAAAATCTGATTCTTGGCAGGAGTTATTCTTGAAGAAATGAGTCTAGGTAGCAAAAAGGCTCTCCATACATCTTGAATCTCTTTGCTCTTGACAGCTTCTGAGAGAGCCATGGTGAACCAGGAAGGTCCATGAGCCCTCGAAGCAAAAGGCGCCATGGTCTCTTCGAACTTGTGCCTCTTAGAGAATATCATGATGTACTTCGAGAATAGGACTTTGAAGTCATCTTTGTCGTCATTTGGAGTTAATCTTCGCAGCCTAGTGCCTTCGACTATTCTATCAGTTATCTCAGGGTCTTGTTCATCAATGGTGTTGGCAGTTGACAAGGAGGGTTCGAACATGGCATTTAGCCATAGCTGAAGTAACCAAAAAGGGCCAACCAATAGGATATTCTTGGAGGTATGAGATTTTAGGCTCGAAACAGCTGACCTTAGGCTTTCATAAAGGTCAACTAAGAGCAGTTCACTTAAGCACACTCTTCGATTCTCGTGCAAATCCCTAGCTAGAGGAATAAACCTACTGGCTACCTGTAGGGATCTACTGCAAAAAAACATATCTTGACAGCCATAGGGTAAGGAAAGCAATGTGTTCTACATCAGACACACTGTCTTCTTCAGCATGGTAGTGACTGATAAACTTGGAAAAACTTGCTAGTTTGACTTCGAAGTCGATTATACTCGAATGTTCTTCGTTGTCAGGGATATATGTTTCTCCCACTGGTGATAGCCCAGTGATGGCCGCTATGTCAAAGAAGGTAGGGGTAATCATTCCACCAGGGAGATGGAAAGTATTATAAGTACTGTCCCAGAAATAGAGGGACGCAAATAACAAAGGGTGGTTGTAAGTGAAACCAGGCTTCGACAGCTTAATCAAATTGTAGATACCTAATTCTTCCCATTGCTGGGATTTCTTAGCTTCTACCTTATTGAACCAGTTTTGATAAGCAGTGTCGGAGGTGGGGCAAGATCGAAACGGTTTAAAATTACTCTTTACATAGTCTAAACGAAAGGGTCCTTAGGAGGAACAGTTGGATTTTCCATGGTGTTTGAGCCAGAAGATTCTATTGCCTTAGGGGCGTCCATTTTGTTAAACAAGGGTTTGAAACTATAGAAAACTGGGAAATTTTTCCTGGTATCTTTTAAAATTTCAAAAACCGTAAGAGGGCCCATTAAAGCTAACCTCTTACCAGCAGCGATGGTAGGAATGAGTACCTGAGATGCATAAAGCATTTCTTTCTCCTTTGAGATCATTTGGGGAGCAAGAACGGATTGACCTTGGTGAGTGATAACTTTACTTTCCATGATAGTTCCTGCGGTCTTTCCTTTCTTCTTGGAAACCTTTTTTAGTTGGGATGAAGTGGAAGAAGACATTTTTGAAGAATGTTGAAAGCTTAGGGTTTTTCGGTGAGAGAAGAAGGATAAAAGATTCAGAATGTGGAAAGAAAAGAAAAAGACTAAGTTGATGATGTTTTATAATGTGGAAGTTTAAACATCCACTGAATGAGGTTGTGATACGTGGAAATCATAGGTTGGTTTGATGAAGAGGTGGCGTAAAAGTTAACATGGGTAATAGGCGTGATTAAAGATAATCATTATTTTGTAACTGCACCATACTGTGAAGTGGCTCCAGGCGGTTAAGGAATCCAAAAAGTGTTATGATTGACGTGACTGGAGTCAAATGCATTAAATGTTACGATGATTCGAAGGTCGCATCAAAATCTTGTGTAGATGTTTAAAATAAGTATTTCTCAAAGAAATCGAAATACATATTTTAAAGGGGCATTTTGTTGGCTGAAGATTTTGATAATATTATTAGAAGCCAAGTGAATTAAACGTTTCGATTGAAATGAAACAAAGTGTCATGTTTCGAAATAGCAGAAGCAGTGTTTCGAATGAGCATATCAAAGCTTGGAGCTTCGAGTGGCAATTATGGGAACATATCTAAAGAAATCTCGAAATGACAACAAGGCTGTGTCTGAAAAAGTGCGTTCGAAGCAGAGACGTACCAAAACATTTGAAATTCAAATGCAAGCGGGACATTCGAAGTTTGAAATTTATGTGCTGGAGCATTTGAAGACACGTGGAAGTAAGAGAGAGGCATTGTTCTGCATGTTCTGAACGTGGCATAATCTTATAGCAAGACCGTTATGGTCGAAGTAGTATAAATAGAAGTCTTAGTATTAGGATTTCGTGTGTCATATCTATTGTACTAAATACTCAGTAAACATTCAAATTACCACATGGCTAGGGAAACGAATGCAAGAGCAATGTACGTATGATATCACCACATGTTTATGATTTAATGAAAACCCTTTATCATGTCCAGTACTTTCCTTTATCTTTCTGCCAAATACCATTTACAAGTTTTCTCATTTAAAGTCTTTTTATTCGAAATATTTTCATTGATGCCTTACATTTAAATGCTTTCTTTCCATTTCAAACACTTTACATTTCAGAAAACTGTCATACTTTTCATGCCTTTATCTTCAAGTTTTATCCTTCGAACGCCTATTTTTTACTTAAAGTCATTTTACATATTTCTTGCATTAAACGATTTCTTCGCATTTCGAATCTTTTACATTAACTGTTTTGTTTTACGTTTCGAAGCCATTTACTTGTCTTTTATGCAATTTTACATGTCTTTACAATTAACATTTATTCATGCAATTTAGTTTCGCGCACATATATTTTGATTACACTTTTAGATCTTTAAGAGAGAAATCGAAATAAGTCAAACACCTACACAACACTCTAAATACCAACCATGAATATCTGTTCGATCATGAGAGTTATCCTAATGACCAACAAGTCCTAGGATCAATCTAGTCGATCCTGCGAGTTACCAGAGAAATTGAATAACAGTTAGTAAGTTTATTCGATAGTTTAGAAGACTAGCGGTTGTTTACCAGAAATCACTGGAAACAGCTAGGTCAAGGTTCCTTCATTGGGCCGGGCAGGTTTGGCCCAATGGAGGAACTGCCAGGTTCTACGTGCGTAGTGGGGACCCGCACGTGATCCCCTCCCTGGGTGTTCTGCGTGAAGTGCGGGCGGACAGAGACGCGGTCTTCTCGGAGTCCCGTTGAGAGTGCAGTGGACTGAGTCTGCCCTAAGAGGGGTGCTCGAGGTGAGGTCGAGCTGGACAGTAGGAGGTCGAGCAAGTAGACCCAGGGAGCACGTCGGGCACGACTGTGATCCTTTGGTCGGCGTGGCCCCCAGCAAGTCCGTTTGAATTGGGCCTTATCAATGCTATTGGGCCAGTCGGGCCCAGTCCAAAACAGTTTTGATAAGGATAACAAAAGTATGACAATTGAAAACAAAATTATTGAGACAATAATCTTTAGAGGCTGGTTGAATCCTAAACTTAAGCATAGATTAAGTATATTAATGTTGCCTTAGTTTAGTTATTTTCTTGGTTTTGGTTTTAATAAAAGTTTATTTCTTATATATATGATAATAAAATTAATAAATAAAATGATAAGTTAATGATTTAAAATAGATTTTTGTTGTTGTTATGCAGAGATGAGGATGCGGACAATATTGGTAGTGGAAGCGGATGGGAGGAGGACTCGTCCTGCGCCTATCTACGAAAAGATAAAAAAGGACAAAAACATGTTGTACCGTGAGAATTTGCACACAATCCTTAGCCCCTCAAAGTTTTATTGTACCTTTTTCATTTTAACACATTCACTCTAACTACCGTGGTTTCACTCTAACTACCGTGGTTTTGCTTTGATCTGTTTACATTACTGTATCATATTGTTAACATTCTTGGTATGAATTTACAACATACTCCACAAACATTTCATTTTGATTCAAAAGCATTAAAAACACATAATCACCAATTAACATCAAAGTTGTTCATTAACCCTTCAGAGCAATTACAATCCTAAAACATTGATTACCCAAAAGAGTTTCTATATCAGACATAATAACAATTGATCAATCATTTCTGCAAGCACCATATCCTATCAATTGATTACATAATTTTTTTTTGTAAACTATAAAACTCAAAAATTAATTAAATTAAAATTAAAAAGAACACCAAGTTAGGTCTCAATTTCCCCAACACTCTTATCCTTCTTCACCCAAATCATCTCAGCCTTGGAACTTCGTTTATCCTTCAAATCCCCATGTCCATGTCCATGACCATGACCATGACCATGACCATGATAACCACCAGCATTGCGACCATTCCTCATAGATTGAGATTGACGAAAACCACCACCGTTCAGTTTTTTGATCTTCCAATTCTGTTTCCCATTCCCAGATTTCACAGATAAAACCCTAATTTTTTCTTCAACTTCATCCACTGTTTTCGCGTTCCAATTCGTCACGTCTTTCGATTCGATTTGCGTTACAATTTTCTCACCATTTCCATTTTCCTCTACACCACTTCCTTCTTCAACCGCTCCGTTCTCCTCCACCTTAGACTTCCTCGCCTTTTCCTTTTTCCATTCCTGCTTCTTCTTCTTCTTCATCGGCTTCGATTCCTTCACTTTGCCGTCCAGATCTTCATTTCCGGTAGCCGATTTTTGGCCGTGTTCAGAATAAACACCGATTGCATCTCCGGCAACCGATTTCCGGCTGTCTACAGAATAAACTCCGATTGCATCAACGGCAACCGACTTCCGGCCGTTTTCAGAATCGACACCGATTGCATGCCGGTTATTCGTCGAGTCCTCGCGATTTCGATTATCAGCATAAAACCTAGAAACGGTTCCATACTGTGGAGTCGTAACCGCCACGTGTCGTTCCTCTAGCGGTTGATGATCTTCATTCTTTTCTTCTAAATCCTCTCGTTGTTTCTGTTGATTGATTTCATTTTGTTTCTTCTTCATCCAATTTTCACGAAGCTGAGCGAGAGTGACATAGTTTGGAGGAAGAGAAGAGAGAATCTTCTTGTTCTTCTCCTCTTGTTGTTGCTCCTCCAAACAGCGTTTTTCTTCTTCTTCTTTTTCACTCTCCATTGTTTTCACCTCTTTTACCGGTACCCAAGCTTTCATCTTGTTTTTCTTCTTCTTACTGAAAAACTTGTTTTTAGTAGTTTTTTTTTTTTTTTTTTTGGTTTGTGCTCTGTTGGAATGTGACTAGGAGAAGCACTCACTCCAAGTCAAAAACATGGAGTAGCAATTTGCCTTGGGTAGTATTTATAATATGTATGGCTAATTTTTATTAAATTATTTAAAAGTATTTTAATGATTATTTTTTTTATAAAATAATATTTCTAATAATAAATATTTAAATTATTATTTTTTTATAAAATAATATTTTCTGATTTTACCTGATCAGACTTGGATCGTCACGACTGGCTCCGAGCTGAAGTTGAACGAGATGGGGGTATCTGCAAGGCACTCCGATGCTAAAGTAAGTGACAGTACGAGCAGGCAAAATGGTGTGTGAATGGTAAGAGAATGAATACCTGACCCTCTTGGAACAGAGGGTATTTATAGCTCCCAGCGTTAGGCCAAGGTCTCTTCATTGGGCCGATCAGGATTGGCCCAATAAAGGAACTGCCAGGTTCTACGTGTGTAGTGGGGACCCGCACGTGGTCTCCTTCCTGAGTGCTCTGCGAGAAGTACGGACGGACGAGGACGCAGTCTTTTCGGAGTTCAGGTGAGGGTGTAACGGTTACAATATGCCCTACGAGGAGGGTGCTCGAGCTGAACTCGAGCTGGATGGTATCTGGTCGAGGATATTGCGTTTGCGGGCAGTGGCGGGCACGGTCGTAGCTTCTGGTCGACGCGCCCCCTGTAGAGCCGTTTGGATTGGGCCTATTCTTGCTCTTGGGCCAACCTGGGCCCAGTCCAGAACAGGAGCCCCCCAAGTCGTGACTCCTGGAGCAGGAGTTATGACTTGATCTCGGTTCGCCTTTGTCACGGGGCCTCATGCTCGGCAAGGAGATCTGGTTCCTCGTGTTTGCTTGAGGAGCTTCCCCTGCGTCGCGCTCGTGAGATAGCTCCTTTCGAGGAGTGCCCGGGGGACCCTCGACTGGCTGTGTTCGTTGAGTATACGAGGCAACCCTTGGGAAGCGTGACGCCACCCTATTGGAGATAGAGCCATCATTGCCTAGGGGGCTATGTGTCGAGGAGGGGAAGTTCGTGGTTCCTCGGGGTGACGTTTCGTCTTCCACGTCATCACTATAAATAGGGTCCTTGGGTCCCATAATATGTTTTTCCTCTTCGCGCTTCTCCTCCTTCCTTTGCCTTAGCTGCTGCTGTTTTTTCCAGGTTTTCATAGGACCGCCGTGCTTGTCGCCGTCGATTCCCTTCTCTGCCGCCGTACCTCTTTCCTGATTTCAAGTAAGCGTCTCATCCTTCATGTTTTTTCCTCTGTGGTAGATGATTTTTTCCATTGTTTTGTATGTTAGAGAATCTGTGTCTGGGATTAGCCTCGGTATATATATGCGTTTGCCCGGCATATCCATGTTTATGCCCGGCAAACGCATGTTTATGCCCGGTAGATGCATAGTTTAGGTATGTGACTTGTAATGCTGCCCGGGATCTTCATGATTTAGGGCGCCTAACTCGTGGTAGTGCCCGGTAATTTCATAGTTCTAGGTTTAGGATTTATGATGTTGTTCGTCACGTCCATAGCCTAGGGCGACATATTCGTGACTGGCCAGGATATTGGCCCATTTAGGCAATCCGTAGGACGACTTATCGTGGTATCTTGGCGTCGGGGAGGTGACTCCAGACTTTTGTTCGGATCTTCAACGTTTTATTCATGTGTGGGTTATGACTCGGCTTGTCGTGCCCTTCTTTCCGTCAGTTATGGCGAGCGTATGGATTTGCTCCCCAATTAACCGGTTTCCCGTGCTTTGCAGGTGACAATGGCTGATGAACCGTGTTCCTCGGGGCGCGACGAGGTGGACGACCAATGCACCGAGGAGAATGTGAATTTGATCGATACCATTGACGATCTTTTGCTAGAGTGGGTGGGCGCCGAGCCCAGAGGGATTGCTTCTGCTTATAGTCGGTGCAGCCGGAGCGCGTATACCATCATCGAGCAGGGTGGTAGTCAGCCCGACTTTCAGAAAAACTTGGTTGTCACCAGACCGTCTCTTAATGCGCGGATCTGCTCGGAGTTCCCCGAGTACGGGTTTCCTATGTATGAGATCGCTTTTAAGGACTTTGGACTAAAGCTCCCCTTTAGTGATTTTCAGGTCGGGGTCTTTAGTCATCTGGAGCTGGCCCCGTCGCAGCTTCACCCCAACTTGATTGCTTTTCTCCGGGCATTCAAACTGACATGTCGCTTTTTAAGGATTGGGGCGACCATACCTCTTTTCTTCAGAGTCTTCCATTTACAGCGCCAGTCTCGGGGAGGTAGGCACAGTTGGATTTCCTTGAAACAGTCGAAGAGACTGTTCAGGATGTATATGGATTCTGTCCGTGGGTTCAAGGACAAATGGTACATCGTGCGGCTGGTTACCAAAACTGGTCTAGAGTCTGTATACGAGAAAGAAACTGTGGTGATCGACAATCACATGGAGGCTCTTTTGGATGATGAGGGCTGCCCGATGTTGGGGCGTGTAACTAAGTTTCCTTTGCATTGGACCTTGCGCCACTACGAGCATGGCACCGGGCACTACCATACACCCGCGGGTGGAATAAGCACCAAAGATGAGGAGGCCTATGGTACCCTCTGCAGATATGTCGACAGTTTCTTCCCTGCCCGGTGGGCCACGAGGGAGGGAAAGGATATTCTCGACGAAGATGGTTACCTGACCTTTGAGGCCCGACCTATCAATACGAAGGCGCTCGTGGAGTGCCAGTCCTACGGGCAGGCCGCGAACCTGCTAGGTTATTTTTTGTCTTGTTTGAATTTCTTCGTTTGTTATTTGCTCATGACTAATCTGGGATTCGTTTGTGCAGGTCTCATGGCTGGTCGGAAGGAGAGGCTCCTGAAGCTGACACAGGATAAGAAAGTCAATAAGAGAGTGGTGCGAGCTCCTCAGGCGACGAGGATGGGCCCGCCAACTAGCTCGGGCGATGCTCCTGGAGGATCTCCGGATGCTCAGGATGTTGAGCCACATACTGACCTGATACCGAGGAAGAGGAACCGGGCAGAGAGCCAGCCGGAGGTCGGCGAGGAATATGGTGTAGTGAGGTCCTTCGGGTTGCCCCCCTGTTTTAAAGAGGAGGGTTTCTTCGAGGGGTTTCCCTTGCCCGTAAGTGCCGACGAAGCTGATACCATTAGGCGGCTAAGTAAGGAAAATCGGAGAAAGCATCTGGCCGCCAATATGGTCGGGATGGTCAAAATGGCCGAGATGGCCGTTGTCCTGGCCGAGGAGGGGGCAGATTCTGATCGCATCAAAGAGCTGGAACAGGAGAAAGCTGCCCTTACCGCGAGCTCATGAAAGTTGAAGGCTGCCCTGGAGTGCTCTGAGGTGATGTTCCGTGAGCAAGTCGAGCTGCTGGCCGCAGAGAAAGAGAACTCGGGGAAGGTTGCTGAGGAGAGGGACTACTTTCGTGAGGATTGGGAACGCTTGGAAATCGACAACGGGCATCTCACCAAAGCGGTCGAGGAACTGAAGGCTGCCATGCTCCCTGCCGAAGATGAGTCGGAGGAGACAACTCCTTTGCGGAGTCGATCGGAACTGGTCGCCCGTATTCAACTCCTTGAGGCGGACTGTGTTGGCGCCTTGGCGGATGGCTTTGAAGCCGCGGTTAGCCAGCTGTTTCCAGTGATTTCTGGTAAACAACCGCTAGTCTTCCAAACTATCGAATAATCTTTATTAACGCTACTCAATCTCTTTGGTAACTCACAGGATCGACTAGATTGATCCTAGGACTCCTTGGATATCAAGGTTACTCTCACAATCGAACAGTTATTCATGGGTGCTATTGTATAAATGTTTGGTTTATTTCGATCCCTCTCTCTAAGAGTTTAAAATATGGTCAAAATGTATGTGAAAACTAAGTTGTACGAATGATTGCTAATTGTGATGCTGATTGAAAAGACATATAAAACTGTATGAAAAATGAAGTAACTGGTTTCGATCCATAGAACATTTAACACAAAAGGTTTCTGGAATGTGGAAGTTTAAAATGTGAAGAAAGCGTTTAATGCAAGAAATCTAAAAGGAGTTTTAAGTGAAAGTAAATGTTTGAAGAATAAAACTTGAAAGTAAAGACATTGAAAGCGTAAAAGTTCTCTGAAATATAAAGTGCTTCGAAATATAAAGAACGCAGTAAAATGTAAAACTTTGAAGAAAAGACTTTGAAATGAAAAGACAGTAGATAAAGAAACTTGTAAATGTTATTCGACAGAAAGAAAAAGAAGGAAAGTGCTGGAAATAGTAGAAAGGCTTTTATTAAATTAAAAATACATGGTGCTATCATACATACATCTCTCTTGCATTCGTTTCCCTTGCCATGTGGTAGTTTGAATGTTATTGAGTATTTTGTATAACAGATATGACACACTGAAATCCTAACACTAAGACTTCTATTTATACTAATTCGACCCTAACGGTCTCGCTACAAGATCATGCCACGTTTCGAACATGCAAGACAATGCTCCTTTCATCTTTCCACGTGTCCTCAAATGCTCCAACACATAACTTTCAAACTTTGAAAGTCCCGCTTTCATTTAAATTTCAAATGCCTTGGTGTTTCTCTGCTTCGAACGCTCTTCTTAGATTTAGCTTCGCTGCTGTTTCGAGATCCCTCTGGATACGCTCCCAAGATCACCGTTCGAAGCTTCAAGCTTTGACACACTCATTCGAAACACTGCTTCTGCAATTTCGAAGCGTGGTGTTTTAATTCCATTTCGATCAGAACTTCTAGCTCTTTTTAAATTCTAAATAACATTATCAAAATCTTCAGCCAACAAATTGCCCCTTTAAAATATGTATTTCGATCTCTCTGAGAAATACCTATTTTAAACATTTATACAAGATTTTGATAGGATCTTCGAATCATCATAGCATTTAATGCGTTTGACCCTAGTCACATCAATCATAGCACCCTTTGGGTACCTTAACCGCCCAAAGTCACTTCAC